TGTTTAATGAAAACTTCTTTAAGGGTCTAATTTGAGTTACCGAAGGCTAGTTCAAATAAAGAAAGCTGTATTTTCTCCCCACTGTTCCTTCAATTGCTTACACGCCGAGGTGGCGGGATAGTTAGCGAGTTCTACTTGTAAGTGGGTTTGTTAGGAGGTCGCGGATTTTACAGCTACTGCGTCGGGCCCAATTAGATGAAGTGCGAATGCGTAAACGTCTGTGAGGTAACCTTTGAGTGCATATAAAGAAACCATTCCTGGTAGAAATCCCTGAGCCTTACACTACGATGTATCCCGTTTCGTATGTGCTGATTTCAGATGTTTTATTTTTAATTTATTTTGATGTTGCAATTTGTCCTTTATAATTTCCGAACCGCTTCGCGAACCGGTTTAGCGCCCCGAACCGGTTCGCGAACCGGTTCGCGGATTGAATTAATCGAACCGGAACTGAACCGGAAGAAAATAAATTTACCTGAGCCTGAACCGTAACCGAACCCGTATTTTTTTCGGTTCGACACACTGATATATATATATATATATATATATATATATATATATATATGGCCATTGCTGGCCAACCAGAAAACGCTGTCTTAACGAGCAGCGACGGGTGTCGCTGCTGATTAGTAAGCTCGATTTTGCGTCATTGTTGATAAACTGTGTCCGCATTCAACGCCTACGAAGCAAACAGCGAAGAACATTTTACGTTGAACAGTTAAAGGGGTGGTGCAACGATATTCATTTGGAGTATTTTTGCACTTTACAGTCCTGTAAAGTCAGTAAACTCCTGAGTCTACTGGCACTAGTAGGACCCAAGTATATTCTCAAGCAACGCCCTTGACCGAGAAACCACTTTGTGGCGGTCTTCTTTCAATGATAAAAACGAGCGTTTTCTTTCAGTATCTTCCTCGTAAACATTCATAAAGTACCGTGGAGGTAGCAGTGTCGACATAGCCCCTCAGTGGCGGCATAGTCACTTAGTTGCTGAAATTGTCTGAAAACCCGCCTTCGGCAGTTGCGATTTTATAGTGTTCAGACGTTTGGAATTGCAAACTTGTTATAATACGCCTAACTAAATTATTGTCTTTTAAATGATTATGTATTCTACGTCCCTTAGATTATTATAATAAAGAATAAAATATAGAGCTATTACCCATAAACCCACCATCAGTATTTTTTAGCATATTTCGAGGCCTAAAACTCTGAACTAGTGCATATATCTCTAACAAAATGTACGCTGGCTAAAAGAAAAATGTAAAAAAAGCGCGACGCAAAAGAAAATATTAAAAAAAACGTGTTTTCTTTTTTTACACCGTGCTGAAATTAAACGAAAAGTTAAAACTTTTTCTGTTTCATAATTTATTTCTCGGTACTCGTACGTGATTAAGACACAAACTTTACATAATGTGGAAGGCAATGAAAGGTTATACACGTGGTATTATTTTGAAAGCGGTACTAAATATAGTGGACTCAAAAAAATCCGCAATTTAGGTCACAGTTGTTCGCGGAGGCATGTGTGGGGATTTTTAGAACATTGGAGCTACGAATAAAAATAGTAGTTATAATGTCAATTTACTTACTTGCATATATATTACACTAAAACATACTGACGCTCTCTTTTTAATACTTTGAGATTGAGAGTGATTCAAAAACGCCAGACGCAATCATCAAAACCTCGTCGTTGTTTCCCGCTTCTTTTAGATTTTTTTTTCTCAGAAACTAAACATGTCAGGACATTAAAATAAAAAGGATTGTTCTTCTTAAAAACATACGCCACAAGATACAAAAATTTGAAGCAAAATAAAAAAAATACGACTGCCCCTAGTTGCCTGAATCCCAATGAAACCACCCATATATAATATATACATATTTTTTGCTGGAATCACACTTTCACCTGCATTTACAAAGCGCTAAGCCTCGCATTTTTTAGATGCTAAAATTATTTCTTCACGTCACCTAAAACCTCGACTCAAATATATTTTTTTTTAATATTTGCTAATAGTAGCTCGTCAGCCTACTCGTCCGCAAGGATACAACGAACCGGGCTCTCCGTGGAAAAGATATTAGGCAAACTACCGGGTTCCAAATGCTTCCTTCAAAAAAAAAAAATGAAAAAAAGTCATAGTGCACGTGAGCTGGTGTAGCGGATCAGTGCGCGCCTTCTATTTTTTTGTTGTCCCTTTATTCTTTTGGCTTTGTATTAACTTTAGAGACCAAGATAATCTACACAATTTTGTAGCCAAATCTGTTTCTTTTTTTGCGTTTTTAAGTTTTGTGTTGTGCTAACCTGCCTAATCTCATAATACAGACCTCTTTCGTATACTCTAGTCCCCAACCACCTAATAGGCGTGTTCGGAATGGGCGATGAAAAAAAATAATAAAATTTTTCAGCCTGTGAATAGTAACAAAAAATATAGAGCGGAGGCGAAACGAGAATGTGTGATAGTTACGCTTATATACTGAATGTCTTCTGTTGCCGAGGCGACGGCAAAACATTGCTTTCGCGTTACAGGAAGTGACGACAATTCAAGATGGCGGCGCCAATTTGAAAAGAGTATACATGTGCTACTTTGGTCCACTCCTCTCTGTAATGTCTTTGGGACCTAAAGAACTTAATAAATAAATAAATACACTGGGGAGAAAAGCGATCTTTGGTGGAGCTCTAGATAGGACACAGCATCTTGAAGAGCCAACGCGATCTAGCTGTCGTTTTGGGTGTCGAGCAGGTTAATAGACCAATCCCACCAAGCGTTCCACGCATGCGTGACGCCGCCATAGCTGTAGTTCGTAGGAGGCAGACGCCAGTTCACGAGAGAGCACATGCCGCCTCGTGCTCTGCTCGCGCAGACCTCCAGCAGGGTTGTCGCGCGTGCAGAAAGACTACAGCTCCCACGATGCATGTCGGCAGCGGTGGCGTACTCAAACTAGCTGTGAGATCGGTCTATTGGTGAGGCCTTGCGAACGCGTTGTTTTCTAGCCACTCAGTCGCGCGTCCAAGTGGCAGCACTTGTTTGGAAAGAGGTGGATCGAAAAGGTGTTTAGTGAGGTGGACGACATCTCCACATAGAAAAGAGAGCAAGACGTCCGATATGAGACGTTTTGAGAGCCAGATGTTGCTCAAGGTCATAAATGTGTGAGTTGCGGCATCAGTAAACGCTTCCATAACATTTGTGTCTTGTTTTTTACCATAGAACAATAGGTTTGAAAGTCGAAAGTAGCGCCACGAAAGTAATTGATTAATTTTTGAGGTAACCGATCACTTACTTTTATTGAAGTGTAATTGTAACTGAGATTAGTTACATTTAGGTTATGGGTAATTGTAAATGTAATTCCTTACTTTTTGTAACGTGTACAAGTCTGGTTGTCGTAATACATTTTGTATACAGAAAGAAACATTCAGTTTCCTACCATTTGTGTTCTTTCGAACGCACCGCATTATGGGAACGTACCGTACACTCCTTCTTGTTTCTGCATCCCAACCTTAGCCAGGCGAGACCTTGCTACACAAAATTCTCCGTTTTCCTCTTTTTTTTTTTTTTTTTTTTTGTGAACTTGCGTTTGAGAAAGCTCGGAAACTCGAAGAGTGATTCGGTTCACTGAGGCAGTGACGACACTTTGAACGCTAGCTGGCCTTTGAGCCAAGCTTATGGGTATACACTGCCTGGAACGCCACCTTAACTAGTGCGTTTAGCGTCCTATATCCTAACAATGTACCAAATGGGGTCTCCAAGTAGCATTAAATTACTTCATGGAAGCAGAAACGTCAGGTTGTCCGAGGTCGCGATTTTGGCCGTTGGTGCTAGAAGTACAGTCTAAAACTACAAGAGGATGCGAGTGGTAAACATGAAACAAATCGCCGAAAAAAGGGTAGGAAACTGCATAACGATACAGAAGACAGGACAGACGCGACCACTGCGAGTGTCACAGCAGTCGCGAAGCCCCAGCTCCTTCCTGGTTGCCAAAATGTCCGTGGTCTGTAAAGCTTGAAAGCGATGTGGAGCAGAACTGGGTGTCTGCTGCATCCATCACCCCGCCTGTGACACCGCCAGGATCGCGGCCGTCGACAGAATGACAGATCTATGACGAAATTACCAAAATAAAATAATTGCTTAAAAAACTTTTTAAAAAAAAAGGCGCGGTAAACACATATCAGTTAGAGACGCTTGTCAGGCACCATACGGGTGACCAAAGAAGGATTTTGTTCGCGGCCTTGCTGTGCTCCCGCTAGATTTCTCTCCACCTATATACAATGGTAGTTTCAGGACGAACGAGGCCACCGGTACTCAAGCTACGTGCTACAGAGGGAGCTTCAAAGACAGCGTTAAAACTGCATGGTCATGGCGCCCGTCGTATTTGCGCGTTTCCTTTAGTCGTTTACAAGTATTGCTTCTGGGCGCCGCCATCTCGCTGCCCGCGTGGGTAGATCGTCTGATAGTCGAGCATTGCAGAGGCGTACCCACTGTTTCCAGACTGGCGTCCAAAGTGTTTTCCATCCACGTTGGTCAGACTTTTTCTCGAAGTGTGGGTACTTACAAACATCAGTTCCCAGCTAGAATAATGAAGCACAGTGATTGCCCCATCATTTTGAGCTTCGTTCTGTGAGGGATTGGTTTAACCACTGAAAGAAACGCACAAAGACGATCGAACGCCGTGACGATGTACTTTTGCCGCTGCTCGATTGGCATTGTCGAATCGCAGTGTCAGTTGAGGTCAGACTTCGTAAAAACGGATCATAAGAATATAAGAAAGTTGAAGCACAAACACACGTTTATTAAAGCGTGCTAAACGAAGATATCACGCGTATCACCTGTTAGGCCTTTTTTATTTTCTAACCTGTATAACATCTTTCTCCGTCAACACGGAGCAGTTGCTCTACATCAGTCAGTGCGGGATAGGCAAAACAACAATAAGTAAACTGTGAGCGACAGCACTAGAATTAAGGTGTTGAGCCAACAGCTTCTAGATAGCACGGATGTAAGCAGGTGTTAGCACGACACCGCTTAAGGTCCTGGTTTGTGGGCGCGCACCAGAAACATGCAACAGGGGAGGGGTGAGGAACCGGCCTCTTTGCCAGCCCACAACCTGGCTGTAAATTCGGTGACGTCTTCGAGGAGGAGGGGCTTCTCCTCTTCTGTCACGAGTGCCGAAAGGCAATTCACGGTCATCAAAAACCCTGAAAACAACAGCAACAAATAAAGTGAAAGACATTTACGAATCTCTGCAATGCGAAACTAGAGCGCAGCTTTTGAGGAGAAGGATTCAAGGGTACGGAGGGAAGCGTACGCCCCTCCTCCTCCTTCTCCTCCTTTTGCGTATATGCAAAGAAGTGAAACTACAGTCGTTGACAGTTTAAGAAACGCGGGAAGTGACGAGTTTGGAACCTCTCATTATCGCTCCTCAGTCAATTTGATTGCAGCATTTGCCGATAAGAAGCCGCCAACTACCGATCACGAAGAAGAGTGAACATTATAAGCCACGCCCCACGTTTCTTAAGCCGTCAGTGACTACAGTAATAGTTATTGTGGCGTTGTATTTGAGGCAGTCTCATTTAACTGTATCGTCGAAGCAAAGATATCAGGTATGAAAATAACAGCAGAACGCTTAAGCTTCGCCTTTAATACCCCATTCACACTGGAAGCGGATCCGCGTTCGCGAAGCGGTTGCGAAAGCGGTTGTATAAAGATCCAGTGCAATTGCACGCGCATTTGATGTCATCGTGTGCGCGTGCAATTGTACTGAATCCTTATACAACCGCGTTCGCAACCGCTTTGCGAACGCGGATCCGCTTCCAGTGTGAATGAGCCCTAAGAGTGGAACACGATAGCTAAACATATAAACCGCCACTCGTTCCCAAACCCTGCAAGCGCGTCGGCGTGGCCCGAGTTCTCTTATGACGAGAGCAGACGGAAGAATCATGAGCTCTGATAACGGCGCGTGACCGGCCCCGACAAGCCGAGGTAGCATCAATGCGGCGACCAGCGGCGCCGATGAGTACTGTATTTTGCTGCCCCGTTTTCCAAACAGAAAGATGTGTAGGAGTTCCGTTTTCTTGCACGCGGATTTAACGGGCCGACGGCACCGAGTCATTGGCTTGTCAGACGAACTCAAGGACATCGTCGACTTGGCCGAAGTAATCTTAGTCGGCCAATTTCAAATGAGCCACATCTGGAAGGCCACATTTGCAGGCGTGGCAGCCACGGAGAAGGTGGACCAAGCAGGACAGCTCAAGATGAAAGGAAAGAAGTGCCTGGTGCTGGAGCCCAACGACAAGGACATCGAGGCAAAGTTTTTTTGTTTTTTTTTTATTTCTATCCTACTTAGAAGACAGACTTGTCGCGGTGGAATTTGAGCCGTTCGGCAAAGTTCGAAGTATCGTCAGAAAAACTGGCGAATCCCCGGCATGGAAAATATGGAAACCATGAACCGAGAAGTAGTCCAACGCCACAGGACCCAGTCACCACCTCTCGGACCTGCCCCACATGATCAAGATCTATGGTGTGCAGTTTCTTTTAATCATGCCTGGTAGACCACCATTCTGCTTACGGTGTAAAAGGGTCGGTCATATTTGAAGACAGTGCCAAGCACCAAAATATCGGGGCTGCAATAAATTCGGACACGACAGTAGCGACCGCTATTCTATGTATGCGTTCGCACTGAGGAGAACTGCAGAGGAAGCACAATAAAACCTAGAACAGTTCATGCACGTAACCGAAATTGTGCAGCCCGAAAGTCAAGTAGGGTCAACCGGAAGTGCTACTGCCGTCAACTTGCTCTCCCTACCAGGAGGTTCCGGAACAGAAAGAGACACGCATCCGCAAAACCAGGAAGACACATCTGGGGCCACAAAAGAAAACGACAACTTAACTGCCAACGAGAACGCCGGCTGTGGCAACGAGGCAACAAAAGAACTGACTCCAACTACACCGGGTGACCAAGGGCCACACTTTTAGAAAAAATGGTATGGATAGTCCTCCTTTAGGGGAGGAACGGTCTTGTAACCTATGTTCCTTTCGAAAGGGAGAAACTTTCGTCCCTGAAGCAGGGGAGCAAAGTTCCTCCGTCGCTTGCATCTCAATATGGCGGCCCCGAATCGAGCAAATTGAGCCCAACAAGGCTTGACGAGGACGCTACGTCTCTTGTACGGGACGAGAGGAGCAGCAAATAGAAGCATAACACGAGCTTTTTCGCGAACTGTGTTTATTTCCGAAGCCAGATTACCCTCACAGGTACAGAAACTTGCGTTTTGGAAGCAGTTACTCAGTCTTCTCGTCGACGGCACTGCGATGTTAAACGGAGACAACCGATACCCAGTTACTTCGCGCACTTTGCGTCTTACGTTTGGTATTCCTCCAGTCACAATTCCTTCGTCAACCGCACATCACTGAGAAGGGAAAACTCAATCCGCGAAACCAAAAGCCGCTCTCGAAAGAACAAACTCGAAGCCGCTGTTTATCGCGTAGCGTGAAAGAAGGTTAAATTGCTAGTTACCAGATGGCGGGGTCAAGCAGATGGCGGGATCAAACGATACAAAAACGTCAAGAAGCCTCTAGTGAACACAGGTATTCCAAGCGCAGTGGGGATTCAGAAACGGAAGTAAAGAGAAAATGGGAAACTTTCATAACATGTCGCCGAGAGGCATCCAGTTTGATCAATGCGAAAATTCAGAGAAAGGGTGAGGAATGGATGAGTAATGTAAGCAAGAACGATAGAAACGCAGCTAAGAAGTTTTGGGAGCACTTGAACTCACTAGGCGAAACGACGCAAGCTAGACAGAGAATCATACTCTCGCATCAGGGAGATCAATTAGAGGGAGATGATGCGATGCGATATATAGGAGCAGTGATGAAGGAGAAATTTCGGGAACGGGTACATGTGCAAGATAGGAGAACCGAAGGAAGTAGCAGTCCAGCTTGTGACATCGCGGATTTTGGACAAAGAGAACGGGGAGAAGCGGAACGAAGAGTCCCTAGTTGCACGTCGACAGGCACAGATGGGATCTCAATCAAGCTGATGAAGAATTTGGGTCCTAAATCCAAGGCAAAACTAAGGGAGGTAGTGAGCACTATGATAACATAAGGAAATATTCCAGATGAATGGAGGCTTAGTAGGATGAGTATGATATATAAGGGAAAGAGAAATAAGTCTGATATTAGGAATTATCGTCCCATAACCGCAGATTATAAAGAACAGACTGGACGAGTGGGTAGATTGCGAAGGCATACTGGGCGATTTACAGAACGGGTTTCGGAAACATAGAAGGTTGGAGGACAATATATTTTCTCTAACACAGTGTACAGAAATAGCGCAAAAACAAAACAGAGAGCTCTGGCTGGCATTTCTGGATATCGAGGGTGCCTATGACAATGTGAACCAAAGGAACCTGTGGGACATAGTGGAGAGCTTAAACCTAGATGAAGGACTAACAGCCCTATTAAGGAACATTTACCAAGATAATGAGGTGATTATAACATGGGAAGGAAAGGCGACGGGGAAAATAGAGATAAGACGAGGCCTTAGGCAGGGGTGCCCGTTATCGCCTTTGCTGTTTATGTTGTATCTGAGAGGATTGGAGGATAGACTAGAGAAGAGTGGGCTCGGATTCGACCTTTCGTACAGTAAGCTAGGCCGAAAACCTCAGCAATCCTTTCCGGGATTGATATATGCGGATGATATTGTACTAATGGCTAACAACAGGACAGAGTTGCAGGAATTAATGAGCATCTGTGGTAAGGAAGGAGAGGAATTAGGTTTAGAATTCAATAGTGAAAAATCAGCAGTCATGATTTTTAACAATGATGAAATTGAGAGGCTGAAAATACAGAATATTACAGTTGAGAGAGCTAGTAAATACAAGTATCTAGAAGTATGGATATGTGACGGTGCAGAATATCTCAGTGAGCATGAAAAGTATATAATAGGTAAGGGCAACAGAAATACAGCTGTAATGAAAAATAGAGCACTTTGGAATTACAACAGGTATGGGGTGGTGAGAGAGATTAGGAAAGGGGTCATGGTCCGTGGCTTGACTTTTGGAAACGCAGTGCTATGCATGAAATCCGAAATGAATGCAAGACTAGAAATAAAACAGCGCGGAGTAGGTAGGCTGGCTTTGAGGGCCCATTGCAAAACGCCAATCCAGGGAGTACAAGGAGACATGGGATGGGCGTCTTTTGAGAGCAGGGAAGCGGTGAGCAAGATAGAATTGGAGGATCGGTTGAGGCAAATGGATGAAGACCAATGGGCACGAAAGGTTTTCAGCTATTTATAGATGAGGAGCATAGACACAAAGTGGAGACAGCGCACTAGGAAATTAAGAGGAAAGTTTTCAGGCTATAGTGGACCTATGGAAGAGCAGGTCTCAGTTAAGTAGAAAGTTAAGGCCACAGAAAGAGATCGGTGGCTAGACGGAATGCAGACAAAGATGGCTCTGGAAAGCTATAGATTAAACAAAACAGTTATTGCCAAAGAAAGCATTTATGACAATTCTAGGGGAAGCTCATTGTTGCTTGAGGCGAGGACGGGTGTTCTGCGAACCAGAACATACAGAGCGAGGTACCAGGAAATGGATACAGTGTGCACTGCTTGTGGAGAGGAGGACGAGACGGCTGAGCACTTGATAATCTACTGTAAAGGGCTTCACCTTATGCCTACCGAAGACAACATAGATTTATTAAAGTCATTGGGTTTTAGAGACAGTGAAAGGAGAGTGCATTTCAAGACTGTAGAGATTACCAAGCAATGATTAAGTGAATAGCGGCAGAAAGAGAGGGAAAACTAGGTATTTTCTTATTAGCTGATGGAAAGGGGGTTTTATAGCCCCACTTTCTTTGCAGTGCGGAGTGAATATAGATTTCACATTTAAACATTCTAAGCTTAAATGGTAAAACAAAATGTGTAGGTGGCATAAGCTACCGCCCGATCCAAAGGGCTCAGCCGCATGCATCCATCCATCCATCCATCCATCCATTGCAAGTAGCGAGGCTAGTTGGCGCTAGGTACCGCCGAATTCATGTTCTACAAAAAATATCTTGATTTCCTCAGGCCACTATTGCGCTTGGGCCACTATTGCGCTATACACACATTACGAATATGAGAAGCATCAGGTGAAGATACATTGAGCACATATACGGCACACAGAAATATCAATACTACGGAACGCCACACTAACCCGAA